GTTGAAAGTGATAGCTTAGTGGTGTCAAATTCAAATGTTGACTTTTCCACATGAATATACAATCCATGTACATGTATCATGTCGGCATAGCTTGGTTGGAGTAAATAATGCCCTTTTCTGCGTGGGTAATTAGGTGGAATTAAGTTACAGACTGAGAAATAAAAATTTTCATTCAAACCAGCAAATTATTGCTTTTTTTATCTTTCAGTTTTTAATTGTAGTTGTAGATAGCACAGATAGGGAAAGACTTGCTGTAACAAAAGCAGAACTGTACAACATGTTGAATCATGAGGTAAGAAGTAGATGAAAACTGTATGAGTCTCAACAATGCTTGTGAGAAGAATGTTTGGAGAATGTTTACTTAACTTTTGTTTTTAGCCAAAAGGATGTGAGCATGCCTACTTTTGAGAATATCAATACCAGTTAATATAATAATTATTATGGAATACATATAAAGGGCTCCAAGCTGCAACCCTTTTGGTCACCACAGTGAGTGAAAAAATAATAATAATGGCAACTAAAATGGTCGCAAAGGTCAACAATTTGATGACTTGTTGTTGATACTGAAGCAATGAAAATTTAGACAATATATCTTCAAAATCATTTAAAGTATTTTCGGTTTCTTTCTCAATACCCTCATTGGACTTGATGCAGTTATTGACACTGCTTACTTTCAGTGGATTCTTGATCTCTCCCCTGTCTTTTTTTTGTTTTGGTTTTTCTTTTGTCATTATCAATCAGTAACTTGCAAGGTCCAACACTTTGTTCAACAGTCAAGTTAAAAAAAAAGGTTCCTTTGATCGCATGATGTATGTGATTTGCACGTTCAAAAGTTACATTGTAAAAAGTAAAAAAACCCTCTAAAACTGCTCATCCACATGGAATTGATTGAATAAAGACACCAAATGTTGTGTATGGTTCCAAGCTACACATGGACACTTGAGACACTATAATTTTATTGGTTGTCACTTCACTGTTGACATTGCCAGTAAGACATGATTTGTTACAGATTTCATGAGTTTCTAGAGCTCGCAGTTCTAGATTATATTTTTTCACTCTTGTTGTCCACTGCTTTAGGATTTAAGACAAGCTGGAGTGCTTATATTTGCCAACA